TGGCTGGCGCCTTAGCCAGTTGAGCTATAGGCGCCGAGCCTATTTCTAATTTTTTAAGAAACTGTCATACTGTTTGTGTAAGTTTCTAATCTGATCTTCTGTATTAATTTCCACCCAAAGTATGTCCTTTCAAAACAAAATGCCACTGAGATTTGATTTACTTCCATGTTGCCTGAGTTGATGTAAGTTAACTTTGACCTCACTAGTACCAGGTTGTAACCTGGTTACTTCATAGTCACTGAAGATAATTTTTTCAATCGCTTTTGAAATGAATGCCTGTCATCAACTATTAGAATTATCTGAAGAATTACCTGAAAATAACCCCTCCTTATGTTGTATATCTTCACTTCATAATCAAAGCAATGCATTGGAAAGGCAGAAACTGGTTTCTCCCATTGGATAGTCAGACGCGTCCCTTCAATCTCTGCCGTGACGTTGAGTGGAGGGTTTACTTGATCTAGGTTAGAGAATCAGAGATCAGTGATATTTCTTTAGAATCAGAGCTGATAGATCAGAGCTGATAACTCCAATCCACCAACACTCCTCAAGACATTTCTAAGATATGCTTTTCTCAAATATTTACAGTCAGGTCTTAATCAACTGATCTCTGAGCCACAGGAAGCTCCTGGCCGCCCACAAGACTCCCACATGTAATGGTGAAGAAGAGGCCCCTCCTGACAGCTACAAGGGTGCCTGCTCCACATGGACTGGAATGGCTGAATCCCTTCTCCGGGGACCTCACTGTAAGACTCAGCCCACCACCCCTTTTTACTTCCCTAGTTGAACCAAACCCAGAATGAACCTGGCCTTGAAGAGGACTTTGCCCTGGAGAGTCCACAAGCCCTGCCTCTACCTGCCACAGGCAGGCGTGTGGCCCTGGGCAATTCACTTCCCCTTTTTGGGCTTTGGCTTTTGTCTTATTTTGATTAGTGTGTTTTGTTTTGTTTTGTGTGGGGCGTGGAGCAGGAAGCTCCTGGGTTTTCTTTTGCATAAAAAGAATGCATTGGGCTAAATTTGTTTTATGACTCCAAAGTTCTTCCGACCCCAGATCTCACTTGATAGTCTTATGGCCAGGTGAGGGGAGTAGGGATTATTTCCAAGTAAGTGTCCTGTCCCTCAGGTTATGGGATTTAGATCTCAGGATTAATGAGCCAGAGGGACAAGTAAGAATGGGAGCTGCTGGCTTCAGAGACTGCCATTTCCTGAGCAGAAAATTCTTAACCAAGAAAGTCCTTATTTTCTTTAGTAATCCCAAGAATTTGGCCTTAGTAAAATAGAAATCATAAAAGAAAATGAATTCCTGTAGTCTGTACCAGACCATATCAATTTTCATATTAGTATCATCCTCCCCAAGTCATCCTCAGCATCTTTTATGCCCTGTTTTCATGAAAGTGACATTTTTAGGTCAACTAAAAAATATACTAGAATGGCATATAGAAAGGGCTATAATTCTTTAAACAAAGTTAGACTCCACTTGATAATGATATGACAGCCAAATTGTGCTACATAGTAGCACTATTACTACCACTACTACTAGTACTACCACTAAATTAGTACCAAATCGTAATTTAGTGTATTTACTGAACACTTAACACCAGGCACTGTTCTAAACACTTTATAATTAGTAACATAATTCTCACAAAAACCTCACAGGAAGTATTCATTTCTCCCCATTTTTCAGATAAGGTTAGGTGCAGAGGCACGACCAGTTTGTCCCTGAGCTGGTCAGTGGAGCGGCCAGGACCCAAGTCCAGGCGGCCTGTGCCATAGCCCCTGCTAATAGCCTCCCCCTCCCACTAAGTCTCAAAAGTTAATACCAAGATTGCTACATGAAAAGTTTTATTAAAAGAAGTTTCTAGAAAGAGGGAGAGCAACCTCTATATTGGGAATAGAACAGGTGAAACCCTGAGAGATGTTTAGAGCTGAGACTCACACCCTGAGAGACATGCTAACTCGAGAGTGTGCAGAAGGGAAGGGCCAGAACAGCGGCGGGACGGAGGGGCACATGTGAGGAATGACCCGGGGGAAACATGGCTGCCCTTGAACAGCTGAAAGGCCACCCAGTGGGGAATGGGCCCAGAGTCATTCAGAGAAGCACCATCCATTGGAGGAACTAGGGGTAGAAATTTCAGGAAGCCACCAGGAACTGATGAAAGATTAAACATGCTCCCTGAAGCAATGAGTTCACTTTTCCTGATGCAGTGATTCTTAACTGAGGGAAATTTTACCCCCTAAGGGATATTTGGCAATGTCTAAGACAATTTTTTGTCATAACTAGGGGAGGGGTGGGGAGGATACTACTGACATCTAGTGGGTGGAGGCCAGGGATGCTGCTAAACCACCCATAGACATCAGCAGCATCTGAACCTTGCCCCAGTGGTTTTCAAACATGGGCCAGCTGGTTACTCAGCATCAGAAAAGCACTCAAAGGAGGTGATCTTTATAATCCCTTCCAATGCTGAGATTCTGGCCCTGGGCATGGTGGCTCATGCCTGTGATCCTAGCACTCTGGGAGGCTGAGGTGCGAGGATCACTTGAACGTGGGAGTTTGAGGTTGCTGTGAACTAGGCTGATGCCATAGCACTCTAAATACCTGGGCAACACTGGGACTTTATCTCAAAAAAGAAAATTGCTGAGATTCTGCAACCCATTTAGTCTGGCTTCGGGTTAAATCTGTCTTACCAATGGCATGAAGAGCAAACAGCTGATCAAAGGGCTTGATGGCCGTGAGCTTGCTTGAGCCGTTGACATGCACTGCAAGCCAGTCACGCCCTTTGCCAGGGATAGAAGTCCTTGGGAACCAGCAGGCAATATTTCTCTTCAGTGTGTCTTTGCTATATTCTTGGCATTCTTCCGTGGAAGAACCATACCTAAATTGGAACACTCATGAGTTTAATAAGACTGGAAGAAATAGCCTATTTGCATAAGTAAAAATAGGCATAGTACTAACCTATAGTACAGAAAATACTGCGTGTCCTCAGGAGCATCCTTGCCAACACGCCAGGTGCAGCGCAGAGAAACTTGGTATGACCTTAAGTGCACGTAATTATCTGCGGCGGTGTTTGTGGTGCAAGTTAAATTCACAATGGAGGTTCCGGGAGCCCCTAGGTGGTCAGAAATAAAAAGGGCAAAACACACCAATCATAACTTCTGAATTCTCTACTTCTTTTAGAAACGAATCATCATCATATATTTATAGAAACCTACTATTTGCAGAAGGCCAACTTACTGTAAGGTGAAACCAGCATGACAAAGCCCCAATTTCCGACATCAAAGAATTTTCCAGCTACTTTGGCTGAGGTGTGGGAGTTACATTAATGAGATACACGTGTGAAAATTCAAGAGCAGGACGATACATTGTCCTTCAGAGGTTGGTGTCCAGCAACCTTGGTGTCCTAATGCGTTCATCAGCAACTGGCTGTGAGACCTTCACCCCTAACACTTCTGGGCTTCCATATTTCCAACTCTTAAAGAGAGGGTTGGTTGAGGAAGGTCCCCAGTGCCCTGTCCATTCTAGAACTGTATGATTCATTCCATTGTATCCAGTTGTTTCATGAATTACATCCATTGCTGCTTGGAAGGAAATGGGTATTATTTTGCAACGTTGCAAAATATTATCACTACTTCAGAGACACGGTACATGTTAGCAAGTTATAATCATGTTTAGTATGCTAAGGCTTTAAGGAAATCTTGAGAGTTTAATGTAACCTCTTTATGTTTGTTTCACCCCAGATTTCCCAAAATGCTGTGACTGGAAAGTCTCATTTTCATTCCAATCTCTCTTGTCACAATATTAACCCTTGTTCTTCAGAATATAGCATGGGAAACACTAGGGATGTTTATGGCTGCTCAGAGAAGGCAGAAAGCACTTTGGGCTGCGGGGCAGAGGGGACCTTGCCAAAGTGGGAGTCTCGAAGCATAGGGGAGGATGTTGAGCTTAGTTTAAGTCAGCTTCAGATCATTTGCGTCACTGTAGCCAGTGTCTTTCAAGAGGTAGAGAGAAAAGGTGATGGGAGAGAGCCTCCTATTCTCTGTAGAGAATTTAAAAAGAAAAAAGACGGACTAAAGTCAGTTTGCTTTGAGAGATAGTATAGATAGACAGAAATATTATATATGTGTCCATGTACTACGTGACTATACAGTCCATGGCCAAGAGGTTCCTATGGTTCCTATGTGACTACACAGTTCTCCTCCAAGGAGTTATTTGGTGTGAATACCATTTGCTTCAAAATGAAATTAATTAATTGCTTATTAGTGTTGACTTACATGGAGTACTCAGAGAAGAATGAAATTGCAGAAATGAAAGCTGAAAAGTGCATCGGAGGCAAAATCCTTATTTATAGACAGGTGGCACAGTGGTTTAATGTAAGGCACACTCAGTGACCCTTATTTGTAATCTTGAGTCTGCTCAGATTAGTCTCTGTGCTTGAGATCAGGCCTACGTGAATTGGCTGGTATGTGGTCTAGACAACAAGTTATAATCAGTAAATTAGAAGGTCTTTTGTATCGTTTTAAATCATCAGTGCAATTCAGGAGGCATGATCTTTTCATCCAGTGATGTGACAAGAGAATAATTTGAAAATTACTCACGGCTAGATTGACCAAGACAATTGTTACTAGGGTCATTCCCATATCCCAGGATCTAGTGGCTTCTGCTGTTTTCTTTCTTTCCCCCAGTGTGTGCGTGTACATGTATGTATGTGTGTTTTCAAGTGTTTCATCAGAAGTATCACTGAGTACCAGGAGCACCAGCTTTTCACGGGAGGCCAATGTAGAGATGGTGGAGTCTGCAGAAATGTGCCAGATGGAACTGGGTGGATCACAATAACAAGAGGTGACAGCAGCCCCAGCAGAATGCTGATGCTGTGAAAGGGTACTTGGTAGCAGCAGGTGACTAACTAAAGAAAAGCAAGTTATTGCTACTTTTCCTCCTTTCCCATATTTGAAAAGTTCTAAACCATAAAACCAGGCTTTTTGGAGGCCTGCTTACCTGGTGGGGCTTTAAGTTCAGCAGAAACCCAGCTGCTGGCGAGGAGGGAGTTGTCCTTCAACAGGATGGTCTGCACACTTGCTGAAAAGCCTTCATGGAGGATGGTTACACATTTGCTTTCAGTATTTCTGGTTTCATACTAAAAATAAAACCCACAAGTCATGATACATATGGAAACATAGCCTTAAGAGAACTATTTTAATCAAATATGCATCTTCCACTTTTCAAATGACACATAAATAAAAGGCAATGAAATGGTTTGGCTAGAAAAAAATTAAAAACGGAACCATCGTAATAATAGCATAGTTTCTCAATGCTACACGAACCCATTCATTCCTCTTATCAAAACAAACAAAATATTACAATTAAGGCTGAAGTTCCCTTGTACCATGGTCTCTAGCTCCAGTCACCTCTGCAAAGGTAAATGCTTGACAGAAAATTCCTTAGAATTCCATAATGATTTAAAACTAGTTATTACGAGTCTCCTCACCCTTTGTTTGACCCCACTGCATACCTGATATTTAGCAGCTGTGTTAGCTCAGCCTTATGGTTAACCCGAGGCTCTACAAATGACTGGCCCAAGGTCACCAAGGGCAGGCGGTGGATGAAGCAGGTTTGGAACTTGGTTTCTCAGGCTCTACACCTTGCCGCCCTCTTCCCATTTCACTAGGCTACCCTCTTCTGTTTTCTTGGCCATTTTAGAAGAAACAGAAAACCCATATCTAGTCCATTGTGCCTAAAAATTACTGAAAGTTCTTGCTTAAGGGAAAGAAGTGTCCCCAGATTGAGATCGTCCGCGCGGCTGTTTGAAGCTGATATGGTAGGCAGGCGCTCGTTTACAGCATTACTGCAGACTCTACGGTACTGACACCATAACACAAGCCTTTTAGGAATTCTCTTCTTGTTTTCTTCCTTAGAATTTCATTTGATAAAGAAAATGCAGTAGGGTGGCGCCTGTGGCTCAAAGGAGTAGGGCGCTCGCCCCATATACCGGAGGTAGCAGGTTCATACCCGGCCCCAGGCAAAAAAGAAAAAAAGAAAAGAAAATGCAGTAAAAAATCCTTATTTGCTCTAAATTAGGATTGCCATCAGAAGAAACACTTACATCATCTTCTTGTGGGGCGTTTATTTTCACATGATATTCTGGATTAACACTTCTTGGTTTTTGATCAGGATTTAGTTCCCAACGTAATAGAACTTGAGCCAAACCAGTAACTTTAATGGTGAAATTGACCGGTGGAAGAAGTACAACTGTTGATTGGAAGAACACGGAGGTGAGGCCAGGCTCGAACACACGCAGAAAGCACTTTGAACTTTCTCAATTTTTTTTTTTACAGATACAAATGTTTATGCTACATAAAAATTTCACAAAATGGGCAGCTGATTGTACAAGAATTAACTTTCTCAATTTTTATTATTTTATTTTGAGACAGAGTCTTGCTCTGTCACCCTGGGGAGAGTGCCATAGCATCATCATAGCTCACAGCAACCTTAAACTCTTGGGCTCAAGAGATCCTCTGGCCTCAGCCTCCCAAGTATCTGGGATGATAGGCGCCTACCTTGACGCCCAGCTAGTTTTTCTATTTTTAGTAACGATAGGATCTTGTTCTTGCTTAGGCTGGTCTCAAACTCCTGACCTCAAGCAATCCACCTGCTTTGACTTTTAACTTGTTAAAAACATTCTATTGTGTAGCATACTATTTTATTATTATGCTATTAAAATGTATCATAGTGAACCAATTTTGGCCAAAATTGATTTTAGCTCAATCAATAAACATCTTGCCCAAGTGTTTATCTATAACATCTACATGTTTTTTAATTGAAATTTGAATATTTTAGTACATTATTATTTGCTATGACCATTTTGTTTTCAAACTGAGAGTTATTATCCATTAATGAGCTATGATAACAACTTATTAATTTGTGATCAGCAATGTTTTTTAATGAGGTGGGAGAAAAATAAAATAGAAAATACCAGGGTGCATGAAACATAAGGAGACTAACAGCTGTTTCATAAATCTTTTGTTTCTATTACATGAAGGTACCTTTCTATTCGTGCGTGTACCAGGTCATGATGCAGAATGTATTGGCTTCTTATGTGTCACAGTCAAAAATACTTGTGAGCAAAATTCTTAAATAGGTTTTTATAGAAAGAGAAAGTTTTGTCTCCCCCTCCGGATTTTGCTTTCAAAAGAAAGGCTTTTCTTTAATTACATAATCAAGACCTGTTCATTGTATAAATTTTGGGAAGCATGACAAGCAAAGAGAAGAAAATAAAAATATCTCACAATCCGGCCACCATGAGTGACATTAACAGATGATAAATTCACTATATTTGGGGGGGGGGGCACATATTTATAAAACTTTAAAAAGTATTTTACTAAAATTAGGACAATATTTTGCATAAAATTACAAAACTTTCTTTTGTTCACTTACGGAGTTGTTAAGACTTCTCCGTTGCTCAGCCTTCCACAACTCCGTGCCCACACCAGCTGCATAAGGTTCTCTAGGGCTCTGTCTATATTGCACTGTCCATTATGGGAGCTACTGGCCACTTGTGATTACTTAAATTAAAATTAATTTAAATAAAATTAAATGTTCATTACTTAGTACTCAAGGGCTCAATAGTCCCATATGGCTGGGGTGATTACATTGGGCAGTACAGAGATGGAATATTGTCATTAGCGTGGAAAGTTCTATTAGACAATGGGACCCAGAGACAGTGTTCCTTTCTTAAACTCTGTCATCACACCAAATCCCTAGATGCAAGACATACCCCCCAAAACAAATAAGCAAACAAACAAAACATATATTCTTTATATAGAAAGAATCCTAGTGGAAGTTTCTTAGTGTTTGGTTGGGAGGTTTTCTAACTATTCCTCTCCAAACATGTCACCAACACCAGCTGTAGTCCATAGCGTCTCAATGCCCACACTTGGACGTTGATTTCCTACTACAGCACAAAATTTGCATTTTGACCAGCGTTGTTTTCTTGAAATATAGTATGTTTAAAGAGTTTGTCTTCTGAAAAGGGTATTCTCTTTTATAAAAATTCCTATGTATTCCTAATTGAAGGTTTATCTCAGAAAATAATGCTATCCTTTCTATCAAGAAAACATTATTGAATAGAATAGAAGGCTCTTACACTTTTCATCAGGGAGTAGGTCCGCTTGCAGAATTGCCGAGGCGCCCCATAGAATGAGCACTGCAGGCACCATAATGATCAGACCCTACAGAGAACAAGGGAGATGAAAGTCCAGATCATTCTGTTGTCATTTTTAAGAAAAACAGACAGCTACTTTCTACCATAAGATGTGGCCATTTGCCTATTTAACAAACATTTAGGACTATCTGCTATGTGCTGGAAATGCAGTCATGACCAAATCTTAGACTTTGCTCTTCAAATATATATCCATAATCTGAGAGGAAGAATGAAATGTGAAATCAGTAATTGTACATCAGTCAAAAACTGCCCTAATAAAGGTGTGTCTGGGGCCTGGTAGGAGCAAAGAGATCTCTGATGTAACACCTGGAGGATGAAGTAGTTCTCAACACACACAAAGGGGCAAAGAGATCTCTGATGTAACACCTGGAGGATGAAGTAGTTCTCAACACACACAAAGGGGAAAAGGCACTGGGTAGAGTGCATGGTAGGTGCAAAGCTGGGAGAGAGGAAAGCTGGTGGGACAGGGTTGCTGCCGTCCAGTCCCAGACCAGTGTAGATCTCTGAACAGTGAAAATTCCAGGCATACTTAATCAAGGAAATAAGCAACAGTACCATTGTCATTATTGTGTATTTAATATAAACCAACATGACAAGAAACTTGAATCTAAAACAATTTGTAACATAAGTAAGAGAAACTTAGTATCACAAACATAGAATAAATTTGTGCTATGTTCAGTTTTGGAAAGACTGATTTTTTTTTTTTTTAGTGAACCCAATGGGAGCAGGTCATAAAAGAATTGAAGAACTTAGTTAAAGACCCGAAGAATAGAAACAAAATTTTTCTAACTACTTGAAACAACTAGGCAATGAGAATGAATGGAGAGTAGGAAATGTGATAACCCAGTTTGAACAAGGAGGACATTCTCAGCCTCTGGTTCTACACGTCTAAGCAGACAGTTGGGGATCTCTTGCTGGGAATTGTAGATGAGACATCTTGAGTTTTTGTTCTGCAAATTTTGAGAGGTTTATTTCATATGAATTTAGCTTGAAAGGACAAATATCATGCACGGCTTCCCCCTGTGGTGTGCTGCCCTCAATTTAGCAAAGCGGTTCTTCTCCACACTCCCTCAGTGATTTGGTGCAGGCACATATGGTTATTATCCATGACGGAAATTCCTTCCATGGACATTATTCTGATCCACAAAGGAAAAGAGTCTAAAAGGTTAAATGATTTGCTAGAGATCAAACATCTGGTAAATAAGGAAACTTGGCCCCAGTCTCAGATCTTCCAATAGCAAAATCTACACTCTAATGACTCCATGGCACTAACTATGATGACTTTATAATTTTCAATTTGTTTAATAAATTTATTTAAATGGCTTGATAGTTTTCAAATATAATTCCAGTAGATCCATAGAAGAAATCTTGGCTAAATGGATACCTTCAGGAAATAGCACTAAACACTCTAAATTTCATTATTCTTTCTTTCTTTCCTTTTTTTTTTTTTTTTTTTTGAGACAGAGTCTTACTTGGTCACCCTCGAGTGCTGTAGCTCACAGCAACCTCAAATTCTGAGTCCCTCAGCCTCCCAAGAAGCTGGGACTATAGGTGCCTGCCACAATGCCAGGTTATTTTTGGAAATGGGGGGTCTTGCTCTCGCTCAGGCTGGTCTCAAACTCATGAATTGAAGAAATCCGCCTGCTTCGGCCTCACAGAGTGCTAGGATTACAGGTGTGAGCCACTGTGCCCAGCCTCATTATTATTTCTTAACTTACCACTTACTACCATTTCTGCTTAACTTACTAATGAAACTGGGAAAATGCCACAATAGTGAGGAAGGAACAGCATGCAAATCATTCAATTCCACTTTGAGATAAACTTAAATATTGCCCATGAGGATTATATCTGTGTTGATAAGAAAAAAAAAACCCACCTGTTTCTTTTTCACTGATGGTTCTACATAATGTTCAAAAAGAAGCCTAAAACCACAGCGATGATGACAACAAAACCAGGTACTCTAATATTTTTCATCACTTGATGAGAATTTTAACAAATTAAACGGAAGCGTTAGTCATCTGCTAAGCCTGAGAAGCAAAGATAAAAATTCCTTAACAACAACAAAGACAGATTCCTCTTCAAGTTATAGAGGTGATGTCTTGAAATACCAGTATTTCCTGAAATGATATTAAATATGCTCTAACTTTGTGCTAATTTTTAATAGTAAGAATTATAGGTCAGAAAGAAATGTAAATTTAATATTTCCTAAGGACTTTTAGTGACTGGCAAAGTAAGAAGTATGTCATAAAAAGTAAATTATGTTATATTTACTTCTACAAATAATAAATATATCATCTGGAATTAAGATGGTCAAATAAATAATGAAACTGTTGAATATCTCAGTGGGGAGATAATTGCATATTTTACATAAGTAAGCCCTCTGCCTTAGAATCTGCCATGTATTTTGACCTTGAAGCTGCTTAAAATACAGGGTGTCCATAAAATTCATGTGCAATTTAAAATAGTTGTCTATTTAAAATTGACAACTATTAAATAGATAATTGTTCTTCAAATTTGATTATTCAGAAGTTTTTTGATTATAAAGTTGTTTTTTTTTTTTTTTGCCACAAATAGCTACACACTTTCCTTACATAGTATGGTGGTATTTTCTATTTAAAAAGGGATACTCTTGAAAGAAAATCAGCTGTCCCATAGATGGCACAAAATACTCAAATAGGAGACTAAAATATTATAAATTTCAGAGAAGGCTAAGTATCACTGGATCTGATCCCATGTTTTCTGTAATTCTGATCACTCTCTGTTTCCTTTCGCCTTTGCCCAAGGCCAATTAATATTTTTGGTCCCTACTGAAAAAAAAAAAAAGACTCAAATTTCTTTGGACCATCTCTGTAATTCAAAGATACACTACCATATAGATAACAACAAGACCACATTTCATTGTATAAGAATAAAATAGAGCTACTTCACTTGCTTAAAAACATATACAGCACACACACGTACATATCAAAATGACAGTATGCCCAACTCTTTCTTCTCATGGTTACCGGTTAAATCCAAGTGAAAACTATTAAATTGAATTTAAATAGGATGAAGCAACCACAGGTTGCTACCCACAATGTCAGGAGTACTTGCTCAAGCCCTAAGAGAAATCATTTCACTGAGTTAATCTAAAATTCCTCGAGTGCCTTCTGAGAATCTAGCTATTGGTAGGTGTGATATTCTTTAAAATTTGAGAGACAACATGAGCACAATCTCTTTCACTACATGAGCACAATCTCTTTCACTACAGATGTTTCTAGAAAGGTAGCTGGGTAAAGTTTTGGCGATGGATTTCCCCAGTGTTCTTGAGAATCGGTCAAATTCTACTGAAGTTCAGACCTATAAATAGGTCCCTCCCACTTTTCTTCTTTCCAATGTAATTCTCTGCCTGGGGAATTTGGTTTTACAACCAAAGTTGTGAAGGCGGCCCTGTTTTTAGAACCTTTTTGAGTCAGTTGTGGTGACACCTAATTCCAGATTCAACCTCAGTAGCAGAAATTGAAAAGCAGCTTAAAGGATTCATGCTCTAGTAGACTCTTAAATGAAAGAATGTACTTCCTCTTTTATCCAGTACAGCAGAATCAGCAATAAAACTTCTCTCTTGAGGGATGAAGAATAATAAATAAATAAACCAAGGGGTGTGCAAAGGACACACTTAGCTAGGAAGACTGCACTAGCCCCCGGTGAAAAATGGTGCAAGCTCCTAAAAATATAAATGAGCAATCAGGACCACTTATCATACAAGTTTTTAATTACTATGCTAGACTTCTGGTCAATTTTCTGAAAATATAACTCAGAGGTGCAGATCGTGGCCACAGACCTAAAAGAAGCTGTCAGTCCAGATGGAAACGGTGCTGCCGCCCTGGGTATTTGGAAAATAGACAAAGAAGGAGTTTGCTACAAATACCCTGGTGGTTAATACCTTCCTGCCAATCGCACATGTGTTTTTTGTCACCCCACGTCCGTGCTCCTCCATTCCTGGGCGTACCTGTCTGCAGACCGTCCGCTTGTTCTGACCAGTGCCCAACAGTAGACGGCCAAGGTCACGTCCGGCGTGTCTGTGCTCCTGCTGCAGCCCCAGCCCCAGTTCCACGCACAGGGCAGATGCTCAAGGTGCTGGGCCCTGGGTAGGACGAACGCAAATGAACGCTCAGCCCTCACAGGGGCGCCGCAGGTCTGGAGCATGAAACAAGCCTGGTCCCGATGGTATCTGGCCTAAAAATTCCCCACACAGCTTTTTAGATAATATATGCAAATGAGGTGATTTTATTCCCAAAACTTTATTATATTTGGAAACACAAACTTTTAGTTACAGAGACTCATTTCTTTTTCAGTAATTCTGAAAGAGGACACATTCTCGTGAAATGGAAATCGTGCCAGGCAATGAAATGCTCCCTAAGTCAAGTATTAAATACACTATTCAACATGGGTATAAAAGCACAGTCACTTTTCACGTGTTAATTAATTTTAGGCTCATAGTGTATTAAAAGATTCTGGTATTTTTTCTCTCTCATTGTCCTTTATCTTCCTCCCATTTTGTGTGTGTGGGGGGGTCACTCCATGGGAAGAATGTTTACCTTGCTTTGGGTAAATAATTAAATTAGTGAACATCAAACCAAGTGAGGGATATTTCAACTAAGTTTCCCACGGTTTATATAAAATGTAACAATCTTGGAAATCCAAGAAGGCCTAGCAGAAACCCCAGAAAAAGCAGAATGCCTTCAGTTAGATGTGATGCCACCATCTTTTTGTTTGAATTTGTAGCTTTTTAAATTAACTCTGAACATTTCTCACTGTTTTACTATACCTTGTCCTATTTTCCAAACCCATATATTTTCTAAGAAATCTTGGCAGACTATATATATTCTCATTTTAGTCCCATAAAGTAGAAAACAATTGTCCTACATTTATGTAAACATCAATAAAACTATAGGTATTATTTTAACAGGACTCCCCTGGCCACAGATTCCCACAGAATCAATATGACCTACCTACTACGAGTTATTAGCTCCATCTCTGATAATAACAGAGTTATAAGGGGGGGGGGGCGTTGCTTTCCCCCTTTTCATTATTTAAAAGTTGGCTTTGTATTTATAAATATTTGCTTCTTGCTTTTCTTACCCCTTGGTATAATGAGGTTATTAAGAGGTGATGCACAGGCTATTATTAGAGCCTATGTCATAGAAAAAAAGTTTTTATTTGCTTACTGTGTGGTGAGTCAAGCCTTTGGTTCCAACTTACTGAGAGGCACAGGGCTCGGGCGGTCAGAGGCAGCAGCCGGGCATGGAAAACGAGCCTTATCTCTGGGTGCACTTTTTGACTTAGAGGCGGTTCTTCACTCTTTCATCATCAAGGCTGTGATGGCTAAAAACGCTCAGGCAGTTTCCTTTATGACGGAAGGGCATTGCAACGTGTCTAAGCAAATATGGAGGAGCAATTATAACGAGCCCGAGTGGAGCTGCCAACGACCAAACTGCTGTCAAATGAGAGCCTCTCTCTTGTGCAGATAGCCGCTATCTGATAACTGTCTCGCCTGCATTTTCGCTCCCTTGCAGCACTGGGCTGCCCTCCCCAGCAGCTGAAATTAACTTTTACTCGTGGTGACAAGGTAATCAAGTTTGCTGAGGGGCTCTAAAGCACTGCCTTTCTGTTTTTCTTTACCTGCTTCATTCTGCTGGAGCTGTCACCGTGCCTCTACTCCCTGTGTGACACCAGCACAATATGGGACAGGGTGACCCTTTCCCGGGCACCAGCCTTTGCGGCAATTCTTAGTTGTTTAGGGAATGCCCTTGGCCTGTCCCTGCTTTGTGAGCAGGTCCAGCACCCCTAAGTGAACAGAGTGAGGGGAAGTGTTTCTGGGTGTGAAAAATGCTGGGGCCTGTCACCTGGGTTCCTTGCATGTAAACTATGGCAGCAGTAGTGTTGGTCTATGGATACCGCCCCAAGACCTTTCCCTAAAGTCATAGTGGGGTTCCCAGTGTAGCACCCCGGCTATCCTCAGGAGGCTTCTATGTAAGGAAACCTCCATGACTTTCCCTGCCCTTTGCTCCTTTTCTGTTTCATTCTGGGGAATTACAAAGTGACTGACTAGCAAAGCTGACTTTGTTAAATGTGTGGCTTAGGGTGGAAATAGATGAGAATGGTGCTTTTTTGTATTATCTGAGAGGACCTTTAGGCTTAGCCTGAGGGATCAGTGATGCCAGGATCCCTGTCCTGTTAACCAGAAAGAGACTTCCAAATGCTCAGTGTGTGTGCTGTGCCAACACGGTGTATGTACTTGGGGTTCCCAAGGTAACCATTTTTAGCAGTTGCAAAAGTGAAACTGGATCATTCAATATCAGATGACTTGAAAAATACGATTTTTTTTGGGAAAGGGGAAGTAAAATAAGGAACAGAGAGAGATCCATTTATTTGCTAAGAGGTACCCAGAAAAGTTTAGATACAGTATCAACCATTTGGCCTACTCTTTAAAAGTCCTACGCATTTAATTTTAGATGTAATATATCTGTCACTAAAGAAGCCATCACAATACTTATTAATCATTGTGACGGCAGTAATTTCTGACTTGAAAGGCTGCTTTAATGTTCCTTATATTCCTTACATTCATTTACTCAACAAATATTTATTGAATGCACTTATGCACAATGCCAGGTACTGTGATGGGTCCAAAGAAACTTGGAGCTGGCTGCCCCTCTAGAGCCCCACCTTCCTGGGTATGCAGTCTACAATCAACCATGCCAATAAAAACAACCAAGCAAACATGAGCTTGGGATTTTATCATTTTTTTGTTTTGTTTTATAGAAACGATTTCATTCTTTAGAATAACATATAAATGTCTGAAGACAGGATAATGGAATATACTGGAAGAAGTCACAACATTTTTTTTTTTTTAAGTGAAATGAAATTTGCCTGTATCCCTTAAGAAGTAAAAACATTGCGGGTTTCACCAAATAGCTTAGGTGGAAATATGGATAATGGTAATGAGGAAATCGGGATTCAGTGGCTCCACCTTGAACTCTGATTCAAGCAGCTTAGTAAAATTATCAATTTCTAGGAATCCATTTCATGGAAATAATGTGAAATATAGACCAAGATTTATACAAAAAAGAGAGAGTGAAATTTATTATACCTTTACTTGTAATAGTAACAGTAATACAGCGATGGTTAAAAGAAATATATAAGTGTTCAAGGTTAAAATATGTGAATATTCAAAAGGGGTGTTTTCCAACACAGTATTATGGGAAAATGTTAAGTAAAAACAGGAAAGTATACACACGTATAATTTTTTTATAATCTCATTTTTGGTCAGAAGCTGAGATTGACAGGGGTGGTTATCTCTAAAGCCATGCCTATCAGCTGGCTATTGCTACAGAATAAACAACCACAGTCACCTCAGTGGTAAACGGTGATAGCCGTTTATTTCCTGCCTATGTGTCTGAGTTCCAAGAAAGGTTGCCTGCTCTTGGGTGGGGCTCCATATCACAGAGTGGACTCAGGTTAGTTGCAAGCATCTGCCATTCATTTGGAACCTATAGCTAATGCATAGTATTTTCAGGGTGATATCAAAGGTGCAAGCCAGCAAGACCAACAGCACTAGTACATTTCAAGCATCTGTTCATGTCATGCTGCCTGACAAGCCAAGAGTCTGAGCAAATTGCCAAGCCCAGAGTCAGGTGGACCAAACCCAAGTACACGCCACACACCCCAATAAGGGTGTGATGTATACAACTATTAGAGGGCTGTGAAGAGTTGAGACCAACAGTTCGTTCTACCGCAGTGGGATTTATGTTGTTTTACTTTTATTCTATGCTTCTTTATATGCAAAAGTTGTATTCTGTACAATGCGAAATAAAAAGTTATTTTAAAAATTATTAGAGACATACAGATCAAAAGAGTAGAATTGAGAGTCCAGAAATAAACCCTCACACTAGTGGTCAATTGATTTTTGACAAGGATCCCAAGACAATTCAATGGGGAAAAGATCAATCTTTCCAACAAAAAAAAAATGGTGCATATCCACATGCAAAAAAATGATGTTGAGCCCTTATCTCAAGACATACACAAAAATTAACCCAAGCAATGAAAAACCTAAGAGTAAGAGGTAAAATAATAATATTCTTGGAAGAAAACATAGGCATATGTCTTCATGACCTTGGATTAAGAAATGGTCTCTAAGATAAGACACAAAAGCACATACAACAACAATAACAACAAAAAAAATAGATCAATTCATCCTCACCAAAATTAAAAGCTTTTGTGCCTCAAAGGACACCATCAAGAAACTGAAGTCTGGGAAAAAAAATACTTGCAAATATCCATCTGGTAAGGAATTTGTACTTAGAATATGTAAAGAATTCTCAGAACCCAAAAATAAAAAGAAAAATAAGTGTAAAAATAATTAACTAGAATGAATAATATGTGATAGCATAATAAAGTGATTATAATCAATGATAAGTTAGGGTACACTGTAAAATATCTAAAAGAATGGATTTAAAAGGTTTCTAACATAAAAAAAGTTAAATGCCTGAGGTGATGAACACCCTAATTACTCTGATTTGATTAATTCACATTGTATGCTAGTATCAAAACATCACATGTACCCTATAAAGATACACAACTATTATGTACCCATACTAATTATTGATAAAATGCAATAAAAAAAGAAAACAAGAAGAAAAACCAACTTAAAAATGGACAAAAGTTTTGAGCAGAGCTATCTTCAGAAAAGGTGGACCAAGAGTCAATCTGCATAAGAAAAGCTGCCCAATATCTTTGCCATCAGAAAAATGCAAATCAAAATCAGGGGATCCTCTTCACAGCTACTAGGATGGCTAAAATAAAAAAAGACAGACAATAACAAATGTTGGTGAAGATGTGGAGAAATTGGAACCCTCATGTCCTCTTGGTGGGAATGTAAAACGGTGCAGCCATTTTGGAAAATACTCCAGCATTTCCACAAAAGGTTAAATGTGGAGTTAATATATGACCCAGATGTTCCATATCTAGGAAAATCCCTGCCCCAAGAGAACTGAAAACAAATGACCACATAACAGTTTGTATGTGAATGCTCACAGCAGCACATACAAGTAGAAATAATTCAAATGCCCATCAACCAATGACTGGATAGAGTCCAATATTATTCCATGAAATATTATATCATTCAGCATTCAATATTATTACACAAAGAGTTTATATTTTATATTACAACATAGATGAACCTTGAAACTAGGAAGTCAAAGAAATCAATCACACATTATATGATTACCACTTATAAGACATGTCCAGAATAGGCAAATCTATAGTGATAGAAAATAAATTGGTGGTTGCCTAGGGCTTCGGGGAAGGGGGGTGGGGGAGGAGGAGTTTGGGGAAAGCAGGAAGTGACTACTGAGGGGTATGAAGTTTCTTTCAGGATAACAGAAATATTCTAAATTGACTCTGGTGATGGTTACTAACTCTGTGACTATACTTAAACCACCGCGTTTTACACCTTAAATACGTGAATTTTATGATATATGTATTATATCTCAAAAAAAAAAACTGTCATAATAAAATACCAGAAAGATGCCGTAATGGGATTTAAACAGAATCTTAGGTAATTATTCAAAAAAATTCTAATGTAAAACCAACCCATGAGAATTTACCATGTACAGCTAAAAAGCAAACTATGTGTTTATTAAATAGTAAAAAATTTAAGTAACTTAAGCTTCTTCTGGTTTTTTTACTCCATGACTGGTTCTTTGCTCTTAAAGCCAGATATAGGAAATCAATTAGAATGTGTAAAAACAGTAACAAAAACTATAACAATTGAGCTTTTGTTAATATAAATTAATGCTCCATTTCTGTCAAGAGGTAACCTACAATGTACCTGGGACTTCCCATTGCTTTATACGCATTATCAGGCCATGGTCTTTTTTTTTTTTTTTTTTTTTTTTTGGCCAGAGCCTCAAGCTGTCCCCCTGGGTAGAGGGCCGTGGCATTACAGCTCACAGCAACCTCCAACTCCTGGGCTCAAGCGAGTCTCCTGCCTCCGCCTCCCAAGTAGCTGAGACTACAGGCGCCCGCCACAACGCCTGGCCATTTTTTGGTTGCAGCCATCATTGTTGTTTGGCGGGCCCGGGCTGGGGATTTGAACCCGCCACCTTAGGTGTACGTGGCTGGCGCCTTAGCTGGTTGAGCCATAGGCGCCGAGCCAGGCCATGGTCTTATAAGCTTGTTTCACAAGATGAGTAAACTGAGGCTTGGGGCATTTACATAGCACAGTTTCTTTGTGATGTTTCTCAAAACTTATTTCTGTAATTGTCATTACTGTTTTAAGAAAAACAACATATCCAATGTTTAACTTGTATTCTCTTACTTGATGGGTGAGGCGATTTCACTTGAGAAACTCCTGATTATTTCAGATGAAGTCTGAATGTCATCTCCTATGGGAAGATCTTTCTTCTTCTTCCCTCAAGTGTACGTTCAACTGCTGCCCGCAGGTGTCTATCTTACTTTTATACCACACTAAATATTATCTATAATAATTATATCTCTGTCTCTCCCATAGAGATGGTGAGATATAGGTCTCACATCATGAATCCGAGAACAGATCTTTATTTTATCTAGGTTGGTTTTGTCAGAATCTATCCTAGTATCCGAGATATAGAGTAGGTCCTTATTCTGCAAGA